GGAGTTGGAGGTTGTTGTGAGCTGTGATGCCACAGCACTCTACCTAGGGGGACAGCTTGAGGCTCTGTCTCAAAAAAAAAAAAAAAAAAAAAAAATATATATATATATATAAAACCCCAATATATATAATTATAATTGTATATAAAAAAATTAAAGAAGAAAAAACTAGAGACACAAATATGTTAAAGAGAAAGTTTAAAAACAGGTTATTTCACATAAATAGTAACAAGAGAGCTCTAGTGCTATACTAACAATAGACAAAATAGACATAATACAAATTTCTATATGAGACAGACATATATTGATAATAGGATAAGTTCATCAAAAATACATAATAATTGGGTGGTGCCTGTGGCTCAGTGGGTAGGGTGCCGGCCCCATATACCGAGGGTGGTGGGTTTGAACCTGGCCCTAGCCAGCTAAAAAAGCAATGAGATCTGCAATAAAAATAGCCGGGCATTGTGGTGGGCGCCTGTAGTCTCAGCTACTTGGGAGGCTGAGGCAAGAGAATTACTTAAGTCCAAGAGTTGGAGGTTGCTGTGAGCTGTAACTCCATAGCACTCTACTAAGGGTGACACAGTGAGACTCTGTCTCAAAAATAGTAATAATAACTATAAATATGTATGTACTTAACACAGCTCCAAAATATACAAAGCAGTAACTGAAAGAATTGAAGGGAAAAAATAAAGACAGCTCTGAAATAACAGTTGGTGGCTTTAATATCCCACTTTCAATAAGAAAATACAGAACTTGAACAATGCTATAAACCAATGATAACTATCAGACAGATATAGAATACTCTGTCCAATAACAGCAGAATATGCATTCACATGAAACATTTTCTAGGACACACTATATATGTTAAATCACAAAATAAATTTCAATATACTTAATAGACTAAAATCATTTGAAAAAAATCTCAGATCACAATGAAATGAAATAAAATTAAAAATGGCAAAAGAAAATCTGATAAATTCATAAATATGTGGTAATTAAACACTGCACTCTTCAACAACCAATAGGTCAAAAAAGAAGTCACAAGGGAAATTAGAAATTACTTAGAGACTGAAGGAACATGAGAACACGGCATATCAAAACTTACAAGATGCGAGAATAGCTGTGTTCAGAGGGAAAAAGAAGTTGTAAATACCTAAATTTAAAAAGAATAAAGATCTCAAATAAATAGCCTAACTTTGTATCCCAAGGAACTAAGAATAGCAAACTATACCCAAAACTAGTAGAAAGAAGAAAATAAAGATTAAAGGAGATATAAATGAAATAACAAAGCCAAAAGTTGGTTCTTTTAAAAGATTAAGGAAAGTGATAACTTTTAGCTAGACTGACCAAGAAAAAAAGAAGACACAAATTACTAAATTAGTAACCAAAGCGGGGACATTACTACTAAGCTAACAGAAATAAAAAAGATTAAAAAAAAATTTTGAACAATTATACACAAAAAAACCAGCCTCAGATAAAATGGACAAACTCTTAGAAATTCACAAACTATAGTCTTCCCTCAGTAGCTATGGGGGATTGGTTCCAGGACCTCCTGCAGACACGCAAATCCAAAGATGCTCAAGTCACTGATGTAAAATAGAGCAGTATTTGCAAATAACCTACACACATCCTTCTGCATACTTTAAATCATCTAATATTTTACCTAACACTATAGTTAGATAAAATTATTTAGACAATAATAAACTTTACCATAGACAGTAAAGTTATTATACTGTCTTGTTTAGGGAATAATAACATAAAACTCTGTACGCATTCAGTATAGAAGCAATTTTTTTTCTGAATATTTTCCATCTGCAGTTGGTGGAATCTATGGATGCAGAAACGCTGGATACAAAGGACCAATTATACTCAGTAGATTAATAAAAACTAGAAAATCTAATCAAACTCATAACAATTCAAGAGTTTGAATCAGCAATCAAAAAAACCTTCCAACAAAGAATAGCCAAGGACTAGACTACCAAATACTAAAAGAATAATTAACACCAATACTTCTCAAACTCTTCCAAAAAACTGAAGTAGAGGTAATATTTTCTAATTGATTCTACGAGGTCAGTACTACCAAGATTCCAAAGCTAGACAAAGACCTCACCATAAAAAAATTTTAAAAAACTGGAGGCCAAGCAAGATGGTGGACTAGAGATAGCTCCTTAGTAGCCACTCTCAGTGAGACAGGGACAGAGGAGGACTCCAGCCATATCTGGCTGGAGTGTCCTGCCCAGAAACATCACTCTAGGGGCACAGTGAGACATAGGGGACCCCAGGAGCCAACAAGGGCAGGAGCAGTGGACAAGTGGCACAGAAAACAAGTATTGGGGTGCATTCAGAGGCTGGCTTGCCATCCAAAAGAGGGCTAGACACAGGAAAGGTATGTCTTGTGCCTTGTTTTTTTCTTGGACTTGGGTGTTTGCCACAGTTGCCTAGGAGGGGCTTAAATGAGCAAGTGAACTTGAACAGTGTCTGACGGCTATGAATGAACTACTGGAACTATTGGGGCAGAGTGGAACTCCCATTAGCTCAGCTGCTACCAGGGTACCATCATTGTGGGAGGGCCACAGAGTTCTGGCATGTGGCCAGCTCTGGCATAGCTGCTGAGCTTGGGCAGCCACCACTGTGGTAAGTTGCACAGCTCCCACTCCCTCAGGGAATGGCATGTCACCTAAGTAGTCTGCCAAGAGCTTCAGGCTCCCAAACCTGAAGAAGTGAATGCTAGTGAATCTACCAAACCCAACTGATTATAAGTAAATCAGGAAGACAAGACTGGGTCTTCTCAGGAACTAGAAAGTGGTCCCATCTTAAACAGCAGAATCAGTGTGCATGTTTTGTATCTCCTAACCCCAGAATATCACCTGGTATACAGACAACATATTGCATTTTATACCTTTTTCTTTTTTGTCCTATCTTCTTGGAGCATCAACTGGTATCTGGGCTATATATTGCAATATGCCTTTTTGTTTTCCTTCTAATTTTTTCCCTTAGCATTGTTTTCTTATATTTTTATTTTTTGATTTTTATTTTCTTCAATAGCAAAAACTCATTTTTGCTACGATTTTTCTGACAATTTATTCTTTCTAATATACTTCTCTCCTTTTCTCTCCCTTTTTGTAGACACTGCACAGTATTTTCCCACTTTTCCCACATAAATTTCTCAATAAGATATCCCTTATTCTTACATCTTATATAATTTTACTTAACTTTCTTTATCTATTTTTATTATTCTTTCTTCTGATCTGTTTTATTCTATGTCATTCAATATTCTTTCTATTTATGGGACAGAGCCTCACTCTTAGGCTTGGGCTGGAGTATTACATTGGCCTAGCTCAAGGAGGCCTTGAGCCCCTTGTCTAGGGTGTCTTTCTAGCTTTGGCCTTTGGAAGGACAGTATTAGTAGGGCTCCACTGTAACGTATTGCTGATTATTTTCTATATTTGGCAGAAGCGGGGTCTTGCCTTTGCTTAGTCTGGTAAGGAGCTCCTAACCTCTTGGGATCCATACCACCCGGCCCTCCAGACTCTTGGAATTATGAGTGCGGGTCAAGGCACCCTGTGAAACACCACAATTACTCTTGTCTGTCTCTGTCCTTGTTCTCTACTTTTCTTCAATTTTTTCCTGTCATCCCCTTTTCCTTTTTTCTCTTATTCTTTCCTCTCTCCCTTCTTGCTCTTTACTCTTCTCTTCCTGTTGGCCTTATACCAAAAAGGCCACTTCCACACCTAAGCACAGAGATAAGGTAATTTAAACTAAATGAAAAAGTGAGAGGAAAAAGTAGGGGAAGGAAGTGAACAAGAAGAAAACACAACTGACGAGGAACCAATAGAAAAGTTATGGCAATATGAAAAAACAGAACAGATCAACCCCTCAAGGGATCATGAGGTAGCTATCACAGAGGAGTCCACCTATGAAGAAATTATGGAATTGATGGAAAGGGAATTTAAAATATGGATGGCAGAAACAATGAAGAGAATTGAAGGGAAAGTGGAAAATCACCAAAAGAAAACCCCCAAACGGACCCAAATAATGAATGAAAGATATGAAAATATTAGAAAGGATATACTGGAGCTTAAGGAAATAAAGGAGTCAATCAGGGAACTTTAAGATGCAGTAGGAAGTATAAATAACAGATCATTGAGAAGAATCTCAGAACTAGAGGACAAGGCTCTTGAGCTAACCCAGGCATTTAAAGATGCAGAACAAAAAAGAGAAAAAGGAGAGTGATCATGTACAGAATTATGCATCTTCATGAAGCATTCAAACAGCTGAGTTATAGGTATCCCTGAAGAGGAAGAAGAATGACTTAAAGGAATAGAAGCCCTACTGGAGGATATAAATGGAAATTTCTCAAGTATCACCTAAGATTCTGACTGACTCCTTTTAGAGGGATCTTGAACCCCAGGTCATTTCAACACAAACAGAGCATCTCCAAGACACACTGTCATGAATCTGTCCAAAGTCAAGATGAAAGAAAAAATTCAGCAAGGAGCCAGGAGTAAGCACCAATTGACCTACAGGGGCAG